GACCCCGCGGGCCGGGCCCCCGCCGGCGCGCGGCCAGGCGCGGGCACGCAGTCCGCCCGCGCGGCCTGGACCCTGTTTTGTTGTTGTTCGGTTGCTTTGGATTTTACAAAAGAAGCCCAGAAACTTTCGAACAAAGCCAAACACCCGGACTACCCTCTCCGGCGAGCGGCGAAGCTGCGTCGCCCCTCCCCCGAGACTCGGGAGAGACGAGCGAAGATCTGGGACGCGCCAACTCACCCCCGGGCACCCCGCCCGACGCCTGCTCCCTGTCCCGTCCCCTCGACGACCCCCGCCCTTGTCCCCCTCGAGCTGTTCGGGGCCGGATCCCGGCAGCGGCCTCCCCACAGCGACAGGTAAACGCGGTGCGGGTGTAAAGGATCCCTCGGAGAGGGGACGATGGGCGGAGAGCCCCCATCCCCTCCCCCTGGCACGGACCCCCGAGTCTGCGTGTGAAGGGCAGAGGGGGGGGGCTGTCACTTGGTCCACTCCACGCCCCTTCTCTCCCCCAAGGATGCGCCCCACCCCTCCACCCGGGCTTGATTTTTTTACGGTTTTTATTTATTCTCGGGGCCTCGGCTCCTGGGGTCCTTCTAACTCCGCCCGCGCCCTTAATTTAAATCGCTGTATACTGTATTTATCGGGCCCCGGAGGGGAGGCTGCGAGAGCCGCGTCTGTGTATAAAACAGGAAATAGCCAAAGCTTTAATCTAGCCTAATTTATTTTCCCCCTTACCTTCCCCTACCCTCCTCCACCACCACCCCCTTAAAAAAGAAAAAGGAAAAAAAAAAAAGCAAAACAAAAAGACAAAAACTAACAAGCATATTCGAGTGTTAGTTTTTCCGTTTCGTTTTACCCGAGCCCGGGCTCGGCTCCCGGCCACGCGGAGCGGTCCACTCTCCCGGGCCCCACGCCCCGTGAGAACCGGCTTCTGCCCCACGGGCAGACCACCGCACCGCAGGGCTCCCACTCCCCGCGGGACCCTGCCCTCCAGGCCGCCGGCAAACGAAACTTGGAAAAGTTGGAAATCTGTTTTTAACCAGCAGTAGAGATAAGCCGCTCCCTGAGAACCTTGGGCCAGACTCCCCGCAGCTTCCCCGCGGGTGGCCCTTCCCTGGCCGCCGACTCCGGGAAGTGGGATGTTGGGGGAGGCAGAGAGAGAAACGCCCCACGTTTGGGGTGAGGGGGGGAACCATGTAAATATGTGAGATATGTACACACGCTGGCGGGGAGAAGAAACATTTTGTGCTTGATTTTTATTTGGGTTTTCTGAGTTGCCCCTCCACACACCCATCCTAAAGGATTTTGTACACGACTAACCCGCAAGAGAGCTTTTAATGATTTCTGACCCCTCTCTATTTATTTTCTGGATGTGTTCGGAGCTTCCCCACCCACCCACCCCCTTCTCCCTTTCTTGTTCTGTTTGTTCCCATTGAAATTTAAATTCTGTTATTTTTATTTTTTTGGAGCAATGTTTTGGTGTATTCTCTTTGTATCTTTATTGCAAAAAAAAATGTAGACTGGGAAGTCCCCTTTATATTTATGTTATAGTAAATATTTTATTACTCACATAAACATCTACCCCAGGGCTGTGTCTGTTCTCTTTACTGCCCAGGCTGCCTGGGTTGGCTTTCGGGTGAGGTGCTGTCCTGAAGTTCGGGCCACAGCCGGGCAGTGTGGGAGGAAGGTGACCACACATTTCTTACCAGGCCAGTATCAGGAATGCCTGTTCCTTAGGCCCCAGCTCAGCCAGTCTCCAGGTGAGCATCTTTCAGGAAGGGCAACTGTGTCCAGGCCCCTTCAAGCTAAACAGACGTGCCTGAGACCTGATCAGGGCCTGGGACCGTGAAGTAGAGACGCCACACACGGATTCGGAATCAGGGGCTCTGCAGGCACAGCTTGGCAAAGAAAGATCCCAGTCACGGCTATACCTCCAGCCTGGCTTCTCGCTGTCCCCTGCCCCGCTGCCCAAGCCTGAGGTTAGTTTCACTTTGCCCTCCATGTTTAGGGACCAGGCTGACTTCCCTGCTTCAAGTCCTGGGCAGCTGGAAGCATGGGCAGCCCTGCCGGCCTGTTTACCCACAAACAAATGATGCCAAACCCACTTAGATGGACCTGGAGTTCAAGGGTTTCAAGGTCCAGCCTGTGGTTCCAAGGAGCCCCGCCGGCTTGCTTGGGCAAAACCAGTCCTACGGCTCTTTGAACAAGCCACCTGCCCCAACTTCTCTTGGAGAGAAGTCGAGGCACCAGCAACTGGGCCACCAGAAAGACTTGGAATCTCGCCAGGCATGAGCTCCCAAGCCGCCTCCCCCACAGAGGGATATATCTGGGACGGCCACGAGGCGCAGCTGGAGCCATCGCCGCCGCCGCACCTTGGCGCACACGGACACGCACACGGACATGCACACGCGGGCGGCCTGCACGCGGCGGCGGTGCACCTGCACCCGGGCGCGGGCGGCGGCGGCTCGTCGGTGGGGGAGCACTCAGACGAGGACGCCCCCAGCTCGGACGACCTGGAGCAGTTCGCCAAGCAGTTCAAACAGCGGCGCATCAAGCTGGGCTTCACGCAGGCCGACGTGGGGCTGGCGCTGGGCACGCTGTACGGCAACGTGTTTTCGCAGACCACTATCTGCCGCTTCGAGGCCCTGCAGCTGAGCTTCAAGAACATGTGCAAGCTCAAGCCGCTGCTCAACAAGTGGCTGGAGGAGACCGACTCCTCCAGCGGCAGCCCCACCAACCTGGACAAGATCGCGGCCCAGGGCCGCAAGCGCAAGAAGCGCACGTCCATCGAGGTGGGGGTCAAAGGCGCGCTCGAGAGCCACTTTCTCAAGTGCCCCAAGCCCTCGGCGCACGAGATCACGGGCCTGGCCGACAGCCTGCAGCTGGAGAAGGAGGTGGTGCG